TAGGTGGAGTTAGACCCAATATTTCTAACATGGTATGAGTTAAGCCCAATTATACAATGTTGGGTGCCACCCAATATCGATTTGTTTACATATGTTTGGCATGGTCTACGTTGTGCTGAAGGGACGTATTAGAATCTCACATTACTTGGGAGGTGGAAATTACACCAAACCCTATCTTTCAAAATCCAATTTCAAAAATCAGATGCAAGGTTTGTTTATTCAAAACTAAAATTTTTTATATTTATATATTAATTATTAATTATATAAATTTCATCAAATCCCTAATTAGTAATTCCCCTAAAATCGTCACCTCCTCCTCTCTCTCTCTCCCTCCTCAGCCACTCTTCTTCTCCATTTCACTTTCTCTCTCTTCGCCGCTCGTCGGAGGAGGAGTCTCTTTCATCGCTGCCACAGGCGATACGGGTGCCGGTGTAGGAGACTTGTGAGCAGCAGAAGTATTGGTTAATGCCGAAGATGGACTTGGAGAGCAATCTGACGGCGGAGGCACCGAAAGGGAAGAAAGTGTGAGGAAATGAGCAGAAGATGGCGATTGTGATGGCGTTGCAGGAGACGGGACAAGTGGCAACGAGAGTGCGTCGGCCGGAGGAGAAAATCCAGTGATTGCTCAAACATCACTAGTGTGAGTCTCACGGTTTTAGATGCGTTCTTCTTCTTCCTCTTTTTTTTTTTCTCTTTTTTTAACTTTAGTGCGGTGCGGTGCGGTGCAGTGTGGTGGAGGTGTTGGTATGCGGTGCAGTGCAGTGCAGTGTGGTGTGGTGTGGTGTAGTGAGTGGCGTGGTGCTGTGCTGTGCGCGGTGGTGGTGGTATGGTGCGGTGGAGGTGGATGTGCAGTGGTGCTGACGGTGGCTGTATCGGTGGAGGTGGATGTACAGTGGTATGGTGCTAACGGTGGCTGTGTCGATGGGTGCGGTTGTGGTGCTGTGGATGCGATGGTGGTGTCCCGATCTGTGGTCATGGTGGTGACTGTAATAATATATTTTTTTTAGATGGCTGATTTGTTTCAAGTGGGGGTGGCGGCAGCGGTGGTTTGACGGTGAGGTGGTGCCGACTCGCAGGCAGCTGAGGTCGTGTTTTTTTTTATGGTGGTGGTGCGGTACGGTGCAGGCGATGATGGTGGTCACGGGGCGGTCACGGTGGTGGTCACGGGGCGGTGGTGGTCACGGGAGTGGTCACGGAAGTTGGTGGTGGTCACGAGGGTGTTCACA